CTCACATTTCCGGCCACCACTATGAAACAAGCCTCCTCAAAACCTCCTCAAGACACCACTCAGATGTTTCATCCAGGACCTCCAAGCCCAGGGCTTGGCAGACTCCATTAAACTGAATGCTTTGCTTTCCTCTGTACTTTCCTCTGTAATGTTGCCTAGCCCCAGTGTAAACCAGACAATAATAGTCAACAGCCAAAAATCAAAACATTCAATTTCCAAATGTGACATAATCTACAAGTCTTCCTCCCAATGGTAAATAATCTGAGGTGCTTTGCTTATCTGCGTTCCTGGCTCACTCTTTCTCTGCCAATTCCACTCACCTTTTCAAATCCTCCTCCTCAACAAAAAACTACAAAAATGCCTCCTCCTCCAGACAAGCCTTCCTCCTCTAATTTCAACCTGACCAACAAACTAGGCACATGCCCAAAGCCCTTCTGCCAAAAACCAGGCACACAGCCAAAGACTCTCCAAAGTTCTCCCTTTGCATGGGGTCACAGGGACCAAAGGCATAATCTGAGTTCATGTTCCCTTTTCCCTAGTTAACCTCTCCCAGCTTATAAAGAGACTCAGCTCCTTTTGCACAGATCCTACCTCTTTCCTCAAGGAATTTTTCTGTCACTCAATCTTATGACCTTACCTGGCATGTCATATATGTCATTCTCTCCTCCACCCTCACCCCAGAGGACAAAGAATGCACCTGGATGGCTGCCCAGGCCCATGAAGACACCCCCTACCAACAAGATGCTGCCCATAACCCAATAGGGACCCTACCTGTCCCCAGAACTGACCCCAATTGGGATTATCAGGCAACTTCTGCAGACAGATAGAAATAAGACCATATGTTATCATGCCTCCTAGCTGGCATAAATAAAGCTATTTCTGCTCTTTTCCTCTCCTGCCTTTCAGAGGTCATAACTAAATATTCCACCTTAAACCCTAATGCCAATAAGGGCAGAATCTACCTCCATTTACACTTCATTTTCTAGTCAGACATTCTAAAGAAATGTCAGACATTCTAAGGAAACTTTAAAAACTGGAGAATAGCCCTCAAACTTCACAAAGAGATTTAATCAAAGTGGCCTTTAAGGTCTTTAACAATAGAGAGGAAAAACTAAAAGTCCAAAAGCTAAAAAGAGACCAGACTAAATGCCAGATGCTGGCAGCTGCCATTCAACAGGGTTCCCAACACGCACAGAAATCCTCAACCTTGCAACAAACTCCATCAGAAGCCTGTTTGACCTGCAGCCAGCAGTCACTAGGCAAAAGCCTACTCTCAAAACCTTGCCCAACTGTGGCATCAAGAAACACTGGATATTGGACTGTGCTCAGCGAAATTCTTCATCCTGCTTCACCACCTCTAACTGAAGACTGATGGGGCCAGGGGCCTGCCATCCCAACTGCCATCACCACCTCAGAACCCAGGGTAACACTGTCAATCTCTGGTAAGCCCATGTCTTTCCTATTGGATACAGGGGCTAGTTACTCAGTTTTATTAGAATTTTCTGGACCCCTCCTCAGTTCTTCTATCTCTATTGTGGGAGTTGATGGAATCCCCTCTAGGCACAGACTGGTCCTCTATTATGCAACCTATTCAACACCCGCTTCACCCACTGGTTATTCCTCAGTGCCCTACCCCTATCTTGGGGCAGGACATACTAAGTAAATTCCAGGCCTCCACAAAATTTGCCTCTTGCAATTCTATCCCTTTTATTTGACTCTGCCACCAGATGCTTCCCTCTCCTCCCCCTCATCCTCATTATTCACCCTGTTACCTCTTGTTAATCCTGAAGTCTGGAACACTTTTAAACCCAAAATAGCCACACATCACATCCCAGATAAAATAACCCACCGGCCGGGCGCGGTGGCTCAAGCCTGTAATCCCAGCACTTTGGGAGGCCGAGGCGGGTGGATCACGAGGTCAAGAGATCGAGACCATCCTGGTCAACATGGTGAAACCCCGTCTCTATTAAAAAAATACAAAAAAAATTAGCTGGGCATGGTGGTGCGTGCCTGTAATCCCAGCTACTCAGGAAGCTGAGGCTGGAGAATTGCCTGAACCCAGGAGGCGGAGGTTGCGGTGAGCCGAGATCGCGCCATTGCACTCCAGCCTGGGTAACATGCGTGAAACTCCGTCTCAAAAAAAAAATAAAATAAAAAAAAAATAAAAAAAATAACCCACCAAAACCACTCCATTTTGCATGATCAGTCTCAATATTCCCTAACCCAGCCAGCCTCAGGGGCCTCAAACCTATTATCTGTAAACCTTTACAAGCTGAAATTCTTAAGACTACCACTTGGTCCAGGATCTCTAAGTTGTTAACCAGGTGGCAATACCAATCCATCCAGTGGTCCCTATCCACCAATCCATCCAGTGGTCCCCAACCCACCAATCCATCCAGTGGTCCCCAACCCACGCACCCTGCTCTCCTGTATTCCCCCTTCTACCACACACTTCTCTGTATTGGATTTAAAGGATGCCTTTTTCACTATTCCCTTAAATTCAGCTTCCCAAAGTATTTTTGCTTTCACTTTGTCAGATCCTACTACTCACGCGTCTACCCAGTTAACATGGACCATACTCCCACAGGGGTTCCAGGATTGCCCCCACCTATTTGGACAGGCCCTCACCAAGGACCTAGCTGAACTTCCAATGCTCCTGGCACCTTCCTCCAATACATCAATGACCTCCTTTTCTGTAGTCCCTCCCTTAACCTGTCCATCCAACACACTTTTTTTTTGAGATGGAGTTACTCTGTCACCCAGGCTGGAATGGAATGCAGTGGAGCGATCTCAGAAACTCACTCTCTACCAGTACATTACTATTGCATCTTCCCATAACCTACAGGACCTCATGAGTCGCCAATCTCTTCTATCCCTTCCACCATCCTATACATGCTGTATACTTACAGCAGGTATACATCTTATTCGTAGGAAACCCTCTAATCACCTTCCAGAAATGTAAAGCTCTCAACCCTGCCACCCTCCTCCCTGTAAACACCTCTGACTCTAAGCTCTCTCACTCCTGCCTAGACCTCTTAGACTCCCTCTCCTCCCAATTCCAACACATTTCGGAAGCCCTTTTGCAGGGAACACCTACATGGTTCATTAAAGAAAGCTCTTTAAAGGAGCCATGTCCAGCATCTGCCTACCTCATCGTTGCCAAAACAAATGCCTAGAATCCAATGCTCTCCCACCCTGTACTACCTCTCAACAGGCAGAACAACCTCTCAACAGGTAGAACTAGTTGCGCTAACCAGGGCCCTCACCCTAACAAAGGGAAAGAGGGTTAACATTTATACCGATTCCTGGCCGGACACGGAGGCTCATGGAGTTTCGCTTTTGTTGGCCATGCTGGAGTGCAATGGCACAATCTCAGCTCACTGCAACCGCTGCCTCCTGGGTTCAAGCAATTCTCCTGCCTTAGCCTCCTGAGTAGCTGGGATTACAGGCATGCGCCACCATGCCTGGCTAATTTTGTATTTTTAGTAGAGACGGGATTTCTCCATGTTGGTCAGGCTGGTCTCAATCTTTTGACCTCAGGTTATCTGCCCTCCTGGGCCTCCTAAAGTGCTGGGACTACAGGCGTGTGCCACCGCGCCATGTCATTTTTATTACAACCCTTCTAATGGTATGAAATGTGGTTTCAATTCGCATTTCTCTAACAGCCAATGATGCTGAATACTTAATGTACCCGTTGCTCACTTTGTATCTTCCTTGATGTCTTTTCAAATTTTCTGCCCATTTAATGAGGTTCTCTTCTCAGTCTTTTTTTTTAAAACAGCTTACTGAGCTATAATTCACATACCATATAATTCACCCATTTTGTACTATTCAATGATTTTGGCATATTATTTTTAACTGTGGTAAAACACATGTTAAATAAAATGTATGGGAGGCCTTTTTTTCGGGCCGAGCTCCTGCACTAGGAGCAGCCCAAAGCGGAACGGAGTCACCCGCGCTGTGCCACCGACCGGAAGGGACAGGGGCAGCTCTCAAAACTCCGGAGGCGCAGACCGTCCACGCGGGACTGGGAAAGTCCCGCCCGTTCCCCCGCCGCCCACCCGGACGCCCACGAAAGCCAGCGAGCTCCACAGCCTGAGGTCGCTGGAGCTGTGATCCCGACCACTGGACGCGTTTCCCGCTTTACCCTCCTCTGCACGGGCAGGAGAGAGACGCCGGCCCAGGCTGCAGTTTCTACCTCAGAAACGGAAACAAAACACCGCCTTCTGTCTCCTTTTTTTTTTTTTTGAGACGGAGTTTTGCTCTTGTTACCCAGGCTGGAGTGCAATGGCGCGATCTCGGCTCACCACAACCTCCGCCTCCTGGGTTCAGGCAATTCTCCTGCCTCAGCCTCCTGAGTAGCTGGGATTACAGGCACACGCCACCATGCCCAGCAGAATTTTTGTATTTGTAGTAGAGACGGGGTTTCACCATGTTGACCAGGATGGTCTCATCCCTTGACCTCGTGATCCACCCGCCTCGGCCTCCCAAAGTGCTGGGATTACAGGCTTGAGCCACCGCGCCCGGCCTGTCTCCTTTTTCTCTAGGGAAAAAACCGCCTAGGACTTGGCCTAGGACCCCGACCACGACCCCCGACTCTCCGGGCCTGGCACGGCCTCGGCTCCGCCCCTCGGGCCAGCGGACCACAGAGAGGCGGCCTTTGCCGCTTTCCTAGAGCGGCCCGGAAGTGTCTCTAGGAGCGCTTCCGGGAACGAGGCCTTCTTTTGGCTGCAGCAGCTGGGCATCGCTGGCGCCAGGTGCGGGGGGCTACTCGGGCCGCGGGGCGTGGGGTGGGGTCGGGTGGAGTCTCCCTCCCGGGCTAGGGGTGGGGGCCTGGGAAAGGCTGCTTCGCCGCTCTGTCCGGAGAGCTCTCGATACTGGGGGCTTTTCCGAGGAGGAGCGCCCGCGGATAGGTTGGCCCCGAACCATGGGGGCGGCGGGGGCCGAGCGCCAAGCTGGACTGTGCACCAAGGCCCCCGCGCCCCCGCGCCCACATCAGCGCCGCGGGTACGGAGATCAGGGTGCGAACCCGGCCTGCCCAGCCGCGTGACCGGAAGGGGCAGCTCGGAGGCCTTCTCCGACGGCCCTTTGGAGTGGGAAGGAGCGCCAGGTGCTGGCGGGGCGGTAAAGGTGGCTGTGGGTGACCGTGGACCGCCAGGGAGAACGGGGCGCCTTGAAGCCCGTGGGGAGCTCCCTGGGCTCCCCCAGCGCTGTGCAGAGTGGCCTGGCAAGTGCCTTGAGAACGGGAGCTGTGCCCGACTGAGCTCTGCTCCAGCCCCTGGTGTGCTGAGCTGGGCAGGTGCGTTTCCTCCATCATCGCAGGTGCTTGTGCTGCTGCGCTGTCCCTTTAGGTGCTGTCGGAACCCTCTTTAGATGCCACATTTGGCTCCGTTGCCACCCGTTGCTCAGCTCCTCCATCCCGGGGGTTGGGGGCTGTGGTGGACTTTTGAATGACAGGTCTAGGCTCTAGTACTTGACTTTGGCAGTTGTGTTTAGAGCTTTGATTTCTTTTCGTTCTTTTTCCTTTGATTTCTTTTTCCTTTCTTCTTTTTCCGTCCTTTCGACACAGCATCTTGCTCTCTTGCCCAGGCTGGAGTGCAGTGGCTCGATTTCTGCTCACTGCAGCCACGACCTCCTAAGCTCAAGGGATCCTTTGTCCTCAGCCTTCCAAGTAGCTGGGACCACAGACATGTACCACCATGCCTGGCTAGTTTTTAAACTTTTTGTAAAAATGGGGTCTTGCTATGATGCCTAGGTTGGTCTCCAACTCCTGGGCTCAAGCAGTCCGCTGACAGCCTCACAAAGTGCTGAGATTTCAGGCTTGAGCCACTGTGCCTGGTCTAGAGACTTATCTCACTATCCGTAGAATGAGAATGGTAATTCTTGCCCGCTATTGTGAGAATTCAAGGTGGAAGAGTTAGATGGTCTCAGTGCGGTCTGTGGTGTCAGTTGTCATGTCCCTGTGTTCCCCTGACCTTTGTCCTAGTTCATTCTTTCATGTGTTTACTTACTTGGAGAACTTGTGCCCCCCATTTCTCTGCCAATTCCTGCTTGCCCTTCATGTCTTAGATATCACTTCCTCTGGGAGGCCTCTGCTCCTCCTGGGACTGACATGGGCCCCTTTGCCACCTCTTCCCAGGCCACCTCCCTAGCACTGACTGTCATTAGTTCACACTGTCAACATCCTGACAATGGGGACCATATCAACCCTCACCCACTGGCCCAAAGGACATGGGAGTCACTGGTCTTTTCCCCTCCGCCCCCACTCTAGGCATCTGCATCTGTGACCGACCTCCTGGGCTGACTGATCAAGAAGGAAGCAGCAGCAATGTCTGCTGTGGGGGCTGCAGCTCCTTACCTGCATCATCCTGGTGATAGTCACAGTGGCCGAGTGAGTTTCTTGGGGGCCCAGCTTCCTCCAGAGGTGACAGCCATGACCCGGCTACTAGGGGACCTAGACAGGAGCACGTTCAGAAAGTTGCTGAAGCTTGTGGTCAGCAGCCTGCAGGGGGAGGACTGCCGAGAGGCTGTACAGCGTGTTGGGGTTAGCGCCGACCTGCCAGAGGAGCGGCTGGGTGTCCTGCTGGCAGGCATGCACACGCTGCTCCAGCAAGCCCTCCGTCTGCCCACTACCAGCCTGAAGCCCGATACCTTCAGGGACCAGCTCCAGGAGCTCTGCATCCCCCAAGACCTGGTTGGGGACTTGGCCAGCGTGGTATTTGGGAGCCAGCGGCCCCTCCTTGATTCTGTGGCCCAACAGCAGGGGGCCTGGTTGCCCCATGTTGCTGACTTTCGGTGGCGGGTGGATGTGGCAATCTCCACCAGTGCCCTGGCTCGCTCCCTGCAGCCGAGCGTCCTGATGCAGCTGAAGCTGTCAGATGGGTCAGCATACCACTTCGAGGTCACCACAGCCAAGTTCCAGGAGCTGCGGTACAGCGTGGCCCTGGTCCTAAAGGAGATGGCAGATCTGGAGAAGAGGTGTGAGCGCAGACTGCAGGACTGAGCCCTCATTTGACTGGTCCCATTCAGGTCAGGCTTGGACATGCACCTCAGATGGTGCCCAAGTGCAGCTGACTCTTTCCAGGACAGCCCTGCCCTTCCCATGAGGCAGGCTCTTCAGTGTCAGTTTAAATGTGATTATGTAATTTTCTGTTTAAATGAAAAAGAGAGCTATGCCTTTTTTTCTTTTTTGGAAGTAAAATGGCTATAAACAACATGTTTCTCTAGGTGGGTGTTAAACCTCACACCCTCCTCTTCCCTGTATATTTGTTTTTGCTGCTGGGTGTGGCCATGTGTGGCCAGGTTGAGGCCCTTCATAGACACCATACAATTGCTCAGCCTGGCCCCATGTAGCCGGGTACTTTAGGTTGGGCACTTTTATTCTTCTGCCTTAAATCCCTGACCTCACAGAGCTGACGTTCTAATGGGGCTGAAGGGAGGGGAAACATTATAAAATAAACAATAAAAATTAACTGTAACGGCTCGTTAGAGGATGATGTGTGATGCAGCAAGTAGTGTGGGGTCTGCGTGATGATGGGGTGATCTTCCTTGACAGTGTGAATCTTAGCAAGGACTTGAAGGAGCCAGGGAGCACAGAGCTCTGAGGGGGCAGCACAGGTGGGCAGGACAGTGCACAGGTGGCCAGTGTGGCGCTGCATCCAAGTAGGAGATCACTGGAGGGAGCTGACATTGGGGAAGGCAACAAGGTCAGGGCCCGAGGGTCTAGTAAGGACTTTGGCTCAATTCTGAGTGAAAGAGGAGCCCTTTTGAGAGTTTTCAGCAGAGGAGAGGCATGATCTGGTGATTGGCTGTTGTGTGGAGGGGCGCAAGGGAGGAGGCTAGAGCCCAGCAGAGAGGCTGTCGCCAGGGTGTATGCAGGGGCTGTAGCCCGCTTTGCAGCTTGCAGCATAACTACGTTCTAGGAGGGACCTTGGGGCTCTGTCTCTGCAGAGGCATTTTCTGTCAACTGGGTTCCAACTGGCTGCCCCAGCCTCCATGGAGTGCTTCTGGACCACGTCTGGTCTGTTCTCTGCCGGGAAACCTGCCCTTGTCTTTGAGTGCCTGGGGTTGCTTGGCTTTGTCTTGTCTGCAGTTTTTGGTTTATCTCCTCCACTAGCCTGACACTTCTTCCTCATCCCTCCATGGGCAGTTCTAACATATTGGGGTGCAGAGGAATACCTGGGGGCAGGATGAGTAGATTCTGGGAGGGGCCCAGGTGCCCTCTAAGGCACATGCTTGTGAGTGCTGCCATCTGGTCATTCACTTGGCTTTGTCCCACCCTCAGTGAGTTACAGGTACAACTCTCCTCCCTCTCCCTGAAGGCACTGTCCCTACCACTGTCATCTGGTCAGGTATATGACCAACCACTTCCTGCATTCTCCATCCCCAGATGTGCCTGTGGCTAGGCTGTGGCAGCTGGGACCATGTTGCCTTTCTCACTCACCGGCCCCAGCCCTGCAAGGACAGCAGCTTTAGGGACAGCCCCATCTTTCTGCTTCTTCCAGCTGCTTAGCAAAGCCTGTGTGGAGCCCAGAGCACAGACCTGCCCTTGGTCCTCAGGCTGAGCTCTTCCTGGCTATCATTGGGAATTTGTTTGCCTCGATTCATTTGTGAACCCTTGGGCTTGTCTCAAGGCAGTACCAGGCAAATCAAGACACAGCCATGAAAAGACACATAGCTTGTGAGACACGGCAGGAGAGTGGGCCATTCCCAGGACTAGAGCTGGCACTGCCCAAGTGCAAGGGGAATGAGGGACGGGGGGGGCAAGTGCAGGGACAGCAACTGGCCTCAAGGCCACACACAGGATTTTGGTCATTCCATTGGAGCATGATGGAACAGTGGGTTTTAATCAGGGCAGACATGATCCAGTTGGACTTGAGATCCCTACAGTGTGGAGCAGACTTAGAGGCCAGCTGGGTGGCCCTTCTCACACTGTGACTCAGTAGTCAGCCAGCTCTTCCCACAAAGGGCCAGAGAGTAGACATTTTAGATTTTGTGGGCCATAAAGTTTCTGTCAACCTTGCCATGGTGGATTGAAAGCAGTCACACAATATGTAAACAAATAGGCATGACTCTGTTCCAATTACTTTGTCTTTTTTTGTTTGTTTTTTACTCCAGTTTATGAGTGGATTTTTTTTTTTTCTTCAGGCAGAGTTTGGCTCTTGTTGCTCAGGCTGGAGTGCAGTGGCACTCTCTTGACTCACTGCAACTCCGTCTTCCAGGTTCAAGCAATTCTCCTGCCTCAGCCTCCCAAGCAGCTGGGATTATAGGCACGCACCACCATGCCTGGCTAATTTTTGTATTTTTAGTAGAGACGGGGTTTCATCATGTTGGCCAGGCTGGTCACAAACTCCTGATCTCAGGTGATCTGCCCGCCTCGGCCTCCCAAAGTGCTGGGATTACAGGCGTGAGCCACCGAGCCCAGCCTCCAATAACATTTTTTCATGGATATTGAAATTTTCCCTTTGAGACAGGGTCTCCCCGTCATCCAGTCTGGAGTGCAGTGGCATGATCATGGCTCACTGTAGTCTCAACCTGAGCTCACAGGTGCACCACACCACACCTGGCTAATTTTTATATTTTTTGTAGAGATGAAGTTTCGCCATGTTGCCCAGGCTGGTCTTGAACTCCTGGGCTCTGGGTCTACCCACCTCAGCCTCCCAAAGTGCTGGTATTACAGCAGTGAGCCACTGCACCCAGCAATGAAATTTTAATTTCATGTGTCACAAAGAATTTTTTTTCCATTTAAAAACCATTCTTAGGCCAGGCATGGTTGGGGCCAACCCCATGAGCCCACTGGACCCCTCCAGTACAGGCACCTGTCCATTGTTGCCAGTGGTCAGTGTCCATTAGAACTGGACTCCAGGGCAGGGGCTGGCTCTGTCCATCTTTGTCCCCATGGCCTGTACAAGGCCTTGCACAGAGAACAGATGTCTGCATCTGGGAAATTACTCCTTTGGTTTTGTTGGACTTAGTTCTCTGTGGAAACTTTTTGCTGGTGGATTTCCCTCTCTTCTGTAGCACTGTCCTGAGCTCAAAGCCTGGATGCTTCCCCAAATGTGTCATTCATTCATTCAGCAAACATTTCTGGGGCTCTGAGTCAAGCTGCATGCACTGGAGACTTGGGGATTTATAAAATGGCCTGGGCCTTGCCCTTGCTCTGCTCCACTTTGTGAAGCTTCTAGAAGGCTCCAAATAGTTTCAATTCAGTGTCATAAATCAAAGATTATTCTAGATAAAAAGCAATTCCAGACCTAGGTTGTAGATTTATTTTAATTAATTTATTGTCTCCAAAACAGGAACCCAAAATATTTTTATTTGTGTATATATTTTGGAGACAGGGCCTCCATCTGTCACCCAGATGGAGGGCAGTGGTGCGATCACAGCTCATTGCAATCTCCAACTTCTGGGCTCCAGTGATCCTTCCCTGGCCTCCCAAAGTGCTATGATTACAGGCATGAGCCACCGTGCCTGGCCTGGAAACTCTTCAGATGAGTTTACTATACTGAAGCCCAAATTGTGGTGCACAGTGTGATCAGGTAACAGGATATTCCAGCACCTGCACTACCCCATGAACAATCTCTCTTCCTCTCCACAAAAGAACCACCAGCCTGTGTGCCAGGGGCTACCTGGATGCTTCCGTGTGTTACTCAGATCTCAGAGCTGTGCCATGGCTTGAATTTAAATCATGTGTTCACACCCTTGGCTCTCAGCAAGATGCCCCATGGATATCATGTCTTTTCCACATCATGCAACTATAAGAGGACACCTCCTCTCCCTCTGTGGCTAATGTCTAACCTGGATTGTTGGACTTTGATTTACTTCTATTGAACTGACCCAGCTATCTTATTCTTAGTTGTACTGTGACATTTAGGTGAAGAAACCACCAAGAGCTGAGAGGAAAAATAACCCTTCAGTGGCTGGAGGGCATAAAGTTATTTTCCAAGTGTGAGGTGATTTGGCTGGTGTGGTCCACACTGCTGCAGCAGGAAAGTCACCAGAGGTTCTATGAAGACACATGGGCATCACCAAGCCCCAGGACACTGTGTGCACAGTAAAATTTGATTTTAACATAGTTTTTTTTTTTTTAGACAAGAGTTTTGCTCTGTCGCCCAGGCTGGAGTACAGTGGCATGGCGATATTGCTCACTGCAACTTCTACCTCCCAGGCTCAAGTGATTCTCGTGCCTCAGCTTCCCAAGTAGATGGGATTACAGGTGCCCACCACCATGCCCAGCTAATTTTTGTATTTTTAGTAGAGATGGGGGTCTCATTATGTTGGTCAGGATGGTCTCAAACTCCTGACCTCAGGTGATCCACACACCTTGGCCTCCCAAAATGCTGGGATTACAAGCATGAGCCACCGCACCTGGTCTTTAACATAGTTTTCAAATGTCACAAGTCTCTTATTTTCTCCCCAACCATTCAGAAATATAAAAAGCATTCTTAGCCCTTAGGCCACACAAAACAGGCAGCCAGGCTTTGTGTGGCCTAAGAGCTATACGAATGGTTTGCCAGCCCCTGACCTAGGACCATGTCAGTCCAGAGATAATTCAGGTGCTAACACAGAATGAAGCTTGCACCCCAGCCCCTTTTTGGCTGGTTGCTGTTAGTGGAAAGAAAACAGCATTACGGTTAGCACAAAATCTGGAATTTTCAGACCATCCACATGACTCACGTTCCCCTGCTTTTGTCCTGATCATGAACCAGGAAGTAGCCAAGAGGAGATAGTGAGCGCCCAGGAGGAGGCAGGGTCAGAGTCAGAGTCTTCGGGAGCAGTGTTTTGGACCGCCAGGAACAGGAGTTGCAGGTGGTGCATGTCCACTGGGTGACTGGGTGCCTTTACTCTTGTCCCATGGTTGGGCAACCCAGAAAGCCTAAAATATTTATGGCCCATTAGAGAAAAAGCCAACCCCCACGCTAGAGCTGAAGGTGACCAAGTTGACCACCTGGCTAAACACATTACCTGCCAAGACTCTCATCAGCAGCCACGCGGCTCAAGGCAGGGACATTGAACACATCCTCTCCACGTGTACAGAAGTTCTGGCATGAGAAGAGGCAGACTTATGGTGGATACACTGATTTCATGGCTGTGGAGAACACCGTCACCCTTGCACAGAGAGAGGAGTCCCTGAATGGGCATGTGGGGGAACACCAGTCAGAGCTTTGCCCCTGGAAGCAGCACTGTAGTCTGGGAACACACTCACAGCATGTTGAGCTAAGTGGCAGCGGCTGGTGGTCACTCAGACCCACCAAGGAGTCAGATCCCCATCCACAGGCTGTAAAGATGGAAACTCATGTGGACACTGGACTCTGCTGTGTCCCTTGCCACCAGGGAAAGCTCCAGAACCTGCAAACACATGGACCCAACACAACCTGTTTCAATATGATACAAATTTGTAAGTTGCTCTTGGGTTAGGCAACTGAGGCTGCAACTTCCCAGTGACCCTGCCATGCCTAGCCAGTGTGGCATAACCCAAACCCGCAGTCACAAGCCCTGCTGTGACCTGTGTCCCTCCGGGCCACATGTTTGCATGTGGGAGAAAGGATCACAAAGTGTCCCTCCATTGGGGATGGCAACGTTTTGGGTCCAAATATTTCTGTGTAATTATTGGCAGTGGCACCAAAGATCAGCAGGTTCCCCCTGGAACTCCTTCACAGCTGAATGACCAGAACTGTGAGGGCAGGGTTGAGGTCTGCCTGCAGCTGGCCTCATGCCTGTAGATATCAGCCTTAATTAGATGCTGTGTGAGAAAATCAGATGGACATGGTCCCAGCCTGTTAGATTACCCACTGTAACCAACAGAGCAGCAGATTCATGTGAAAATTCCATTTCAGCCAAAAAAATCATCAGGCCCTGCGGATCATTGCAAAAGGTGACCTGCCATCAGCCACACTTCCCTCCATGTTCCTGCATGTGCCAAGAACACAGGGTCCTACCATGCTCCACCTGGGCCATGTCTCAAGGTTGTATTGGCAGCAAAAACCTGAGGGGTGAGGTAATGGCCACCCAGCTCCCAACAGAGCAGGCTCACTCCTCACCTCTGGGTTTCTCAGCGGTGCCTGCACCTGCTGGGCCTCTGCGTCATGGGAGTGGTGGGCAAAGAGAACTGATATGGCCCTGACAACTGCTGTGAGTAATCTGCCTGCCATCCCCTCCTAGATGCAACAGCTACAGGATTTCTTGTGAGCTTGTAATAATAAAATCTCAGACCTTCAGTTCTTGGCAGTTTCAGGCTGTTTTAAGGAAATCTGTTCTGCAGCATAAATTACATACATCCAGACCTGTGTGTGACCTCCTCTGTAAAGTGGGGCAACTGGGTTCTCCTACTCTACCTCGTCCCTCCATCTCTTCCTCAACCCCACTCCCTGTTTCTCCTCCCATCTGTCCTTCTCGCCCCATGGTCTGCTGGTCTTCTACACCTACTCCATCTCAAGTTCTTTTCCCTACCCTTTTTTCTCCCACTTCCTCTCCCCACGTTCTTTGCTCTGCCTTTTTTTTGAGGTGGAGTCTCACTCCATCACCCAGGCCAGAGTGCAGTGGCGCGACCTTGGCTCACTGCAACCTCCACCTCTCAGGTTCAAATTATTCTCCTGCCTAAGCCTCCCAAGTAGCTGGGATTACAGGCACGCACCACCATGCCTGGCTGACTTGTGTGTTTTTAGTAGAAACGGGGGTTTCACTACGTTGGCCAGGATGGTCTCAATCTCTTGACCTCGTGATCTGCCTACCTTGGCCTCCCAAAGTGCTGGGATTACAGGCGTGAGCCACTGTGCCCAGCCTGCTCTACCATCTCTTTTTCCCACCATCTCCTTTTCCCACTCCCTCTCCTCACCCCTTCTCAGGTTCTCTCTATATTTGTTTCCCAACCATCTTAATGTGCCCATTTTTATCGTTTTCTCTATCGTCTTTATTTCCTTCTCATCACGTTCACCCCGCCAACAAAAAAAAGTGAAGCAACTGGGCCAGTACAAGACAGTCATCCAGCCTGAGGGGCTGTGTGCACACACTGGGGTGTGCTGGAGATGCTGGCATAGCTGGGGGTGGGGTGGGGAGGGGTTGCTTGAGTACTCATTCTTCGACAGGCAGACAGACATACTCCTCTACACTGTTTCCTCTCAGTACCCTCTAACAGTGCCTATTTTCAGATACACAAATAAGGCTCCGAGTTTCAGGGCAATGATGTCCTGGGTCACACAGCAAGCCCCTCGGCCACAAGTGTGACCTCAGAACCCATGCTGTGACACCTTATTTCTGTGCCTAGCACTAATGCGTGCTCCACAAACGCCAATCACACCAGTAATGACAGTGTGTACCTGCTGGCCCAGCCTGCCTCTCTGAAAGAGAAGGGGACAGGGCTGGGGACCTTTGGTCCTGGGTGGCCGTACCCCTGGGTTTCTCTAATGGGCGTTAAGTTCTAAGATAAGGATTTAAGGTGAAGTCAGAAGGAAATTCTAGGCACACCTCTTCTGGACTTCCTCCAACACGGGCTAATGCATTTCCTTATTGTTGAAGCCAGTGTGAGCCACTGATCCTTAAGGGAAAACATTTTGGGTAAATTATTTTTAACATATTCAGTCTAGCAGAGCTCGTAGAGCCTTCCTTGTGCCTCTTCCTCATTCACAGGCACCTGTAAACTCAGAACTGCACCCTGAGTGTGAGTGACACAGGCTTTATTGAACCGGTTAAGGTCAAACATTCCAGCAAATAAACATACACTTTGTATGAAGTTGGATAATCTTAAGAGAGCAATTCTGAGTCTTTACCAACATTCTACATGTTTGTCAGTATAAATGATCCCATATAAAATAAGTTAAGGCTGTAGATTTATTCATATATATATATATATATATATATACACATTTATACAGATAAGTGGTCTATCCCATGTGAATTTTTTGATGCTGGGTAAGTCTTGAGCTCCGATTAAAAGCTTTGCCACAGTCATTGCATTTATAAGGCTTCTCCCCAGTGTGAATTCTCTGATGTATAATTAGATGTGAACGCCACCTAAATATTTTCTCACAGTCATCACACTGATGCAGTTTCTTTATAGTATTAACTTTTTTACGGCTCACAAAAGTAGACCCTTCTAGGGCATTCCCATATTCGTAAAACCACTGGGCCCTAGTGTGTATTCTCTGGTGTTCAATAAGATATGAGCTCCGGCTGAAGGCTTTTCCACATTCGCTGCACTCATAGGGCTTCACTCCTGCATGAATTATCTGGTGTTGGAAAAGGGTTGAGTTCTGACTGAAGGCTTTCCCACATTCGTTACATTTATAGGGCCTCTCTCCAGTGTGAACCCTTTGATGTATTGTAAGCTGTGTGCTCATGCTGAAGGCTTTTCCACATTGGAGGCATTCATAGGGTTTCTCTCCTTTATGGATTCTCTGATGGTAAATGAGGCTTGAACTCTGACTAAAGGCTTTTCCACAGTCATTACACACATAGGGTTTCTCTCCAGTGTGGATTCGCTGATGTTGAATAAGGTGTGAGCCCTGAACAAAGCCTTTGCCACACTCATCACATTTAAATGGTTTTTCTCCAGTGTGAGTTCTCTGATGGCGAATAAGCCGTGAACTACAACCAAAGGCTTTTGTACACTTGTTGCATTTATAAGGCTTCTCTCCAGTGTGAATCAGCTGATGCTGACTAAGGCGAGAGATCCACCTAAAAGCTTTCCCACACTCATCACACTTAAATGGTTTCTCTACAGTGTGAATTCTCTGATGTGCAGCAAGGCTTGGGCTGTCTGAGGCTCTCAGAATTTGAGATTTTTCCCCAGTGTGCATCCTTTGATGCTGGGCTAGAGTGGAGCTCTGGCTGAAGGCCTTCCCACACTCCTTGCAAGGGTAGGGCCTCTCCCCAGTGTGAGTCCTCTGGTGTCTAACCAGCTGCGACTGCTGACTGAAGGCTTTCCCACACTCACGACAACCATAGGGCCTCTCTCCTGTGTGGATTCTCTGATGGTGGATGAGGCTTGAGCTCTGACCAAAGGCTTTTCCACATTCCTCACATCTGTAGGGCTTCTCCCCAGTGTGAATTCTTTGATGCTGAATAAGTTTTGAACTCAGGCGGAAGGCTTTTCCACACTCAATGCATTTAAAGGGTTTCTCTCCCGTGTGGATTCTCTGATGCTGATTAAGCTGTGAGCAGAGCCTGAAGACTTTCCCACATTCTGCACATTCGTATGGCTTCTCTCCATGGCAGTTATTTGGATGTTTCCCCTGCAAGCAGTCAGATAACTTTTTTTGGCATTCTTGACATCTGCTAATTTTCTTCTGTGTATTAATTTCCCAATGCAGAGCGAAGTCTGAAGTGACTGTGAAGCCTTTGCCACACCCCTCGCATCTCTGGGAAGTCCCTTCTGCACTCTCCCTCTGACTTTCAAGAGGCTGACAAACCAGGCTGATGGTTCCCAGCTCCTTACTTCCCTGGGCAGTGTCCTTGGTGAAGGGCTTGGGAACCACAGTCTCCTCATTCACACAGTTATTCTGGAAGACAGAGCCTGTCACTCTCAGTCCAGGACTGCCCAAATGACTGCCTAACCAGACCTCAGAATCAGAAACATCTCCAAAGCAAGGATTCTGAGCAAAGTCCTGTGGAGAGATTCTGACCACTGTCCCAGAGGATTCTGATTTTAGGATGTCCATGTCCTCACAGGCCTGCTCATTGTCAGTCCTAATCGTAGAATCTGAAACAAACAGGAACAAAGATGTTCCTTAGGTCCTGTGCTCAGAGAAATGACAGACTACAAATGTGGGGGCTGGGCTCAAGGCTCCCAGAATGGCTGCACTGAGCACTGTGAAGCCCCAGGTGGAAACTCGCAAGAGAAGGCAGAGCCTTTGGCAGTTCTCAAATCTGGTTTCAAACTTTTTACTTTGTTCATTCATTCAATAGCAATAAAATGTACATTACACACTGGGCAGAGTGCTGAGGGCAACACAGACTACGGGGGTGCAGGGGTCTGTGAGCAGAGAGGTCCATCCTACAGGGCACCAGTGTGGGGCAAAGTTCACATAGAAACAAAGAAGACAAAGCAAGACGAGAAGGGTGGGAGGTTACCATGGATTAGGCCGTGGGGTCAGGGGCTCCAGCATCCCAGCTGGTGAGGAAAGAGTACAGGGTCTGAGTTCTGAATGGATGGCATGGACTCTGATGAGTAAGACAGGGCTGGAAGAGCTGCCAAGGGACATACTTGGTAAGCTCAGAAGAGCACTGGGCACCTAGGCCTAGGCCATTCATGGCTACTCCCTGGGGTGGGCTTCTCTGAGCAAAGCCCAGCCCCCTCATCTGCCTCCTGGCTGCTCCTGCCAACTTGCACCTGGCCATGTTCCCTGCTTATCCCTGGGCAGTGTGTGCCTACCCACAAGACCACACTGACTTCTTCCCTGGGGCTGCAAGTTTCTAGAGGCCCCCAGGGGGAATTCCAGACATCTGCATTCCTTCTGGACTCCCCAAGTAAGCACAGGCTTTTGTATTACTCTGTAATCCTAGAGGGCACCTCTGCTGAGGTCAGACATCCCCTTGATGTCTGTGATCACAACCATGACAGGATGCAACACACAGCTATGGTCATGACTCAACTACAGCCCCCACCACGAAACAATCATGTTCACAACCACAGCCATGCGGCCACAGCTGTAACCAGCCCAAGTCTACCCCACAGTGAATGCACAGCCCAGTGACAGGGCTTTAGGCTCCGGTTCTTGACCACTACTAACCATCGGTGGTCAGTCTCCAGCTTCCAGGGATGTCCAAAGGACTTCCTGTCAGTCCTGGAAAATCACAGCAAGCAACCCTTTCAACTTCACTATGCAGCAAGGATACACAAGTGCCATGAGGACACAAGCCATCTCCAGGCCTGGTCCTCACACGCTTCTCTTTCCCTGCACAACCACACCACCTCAGCATGCCTGCTCCTTCAACAGGGCTTGCTTGGCACTCCTCCCAAGCCATCCCCTGCTGTGAAGATAAGAGAGCAAGGTGGCCAGACACGGTGGCACGGTGGATCACACCTGTAATCGTAGCACATTGGGAAGCCAAGGCAGGTGGATCACCTGAGGTTAGGAGATTGAGACCGGCCTGACCAACATGGTGAAACCCCATCTCTACTAAAAATACAAAAATTAGCTGAGTGTGGTGGCGTGCACCAGTAGTCCCAGCTGCTTGGGAGGCTAAGGCAGGAGAATCGCTTGAATCCGGGAGGTGGAGGCTGCAGTGAGCCAAGATCGTGCCACTGCACTCCAGCCTGGGTGACAGACCGAGACTCTGTCCCAAAAAAAAAAAAAAAAAAAGAGAGCAGGGCACCAAGATGTGCAGCAAGTACTTCCCATGCCTGGAACATGGTGGTCCTAAGAGCTGGGAGCGAGCCCAGGACAGCCCAGCACTCCTGTGCCAGGTGTTGCCCAAGGTCTCCTGCTGCAGAAAGTAAAACCTCTACGTGGCTAAGCAGCCTGCAGCCAAGAGCACTGCTGAGCAGCAGACAAGGACATCCCAAATCCACCTGACCACATGTCAGTTTCCTTCCCTCTGGCACCTTGTGACTGCCTATGAGAAGCCTGAGATACATCATAAAGTTCTCCCAGCACAAACCCAGCCTCAGCCGCCTTCTGGCTCTCAGTGGCCCTTGGCCTCCTGCCTGGCCTTGGCTTGCATGGCCTGTTTCTTTCTGTCCCTGCTTACCACTGTCACTCACCCCCACAGCAGCCCCCCAGGGACCTGTAACTGAAGGCAAGGCTCTCTCCCCTTCCCTGGGGCATGAAAGCGCTCCTCCAGTAAACTTTGGATAACTTCTGAGATGATTACAAAATGAAACCTCATTCTGGAAGTGGCAGTCCCTCAGAGAGGACACATACATCTTGGCTCTAAAGAGCTGAGGCCAGGTGCGGTGGCTCATACCTGTAATCCCAGCACTTTGGGAGGCCGAGACGGGCAGATCATTTGAACCAAGGAGTTCGAGACCAGTCTGGACCAACAGAGTGAAACCCCATCTCTACTAAAAATACAAAAATTAGCCAGGTGTGGTGGCGGGATCCTGTAATCCCAGCTATTTGGGAGGCTTAGGCACAAGAATCTTAGCCAAGATCATCCCACGGCACTGTACTCCAGCCTTGGCAACAGAGACTCCCATCTCAAAAAAAAAAAAAAAAAAAAAAAAAAACAGAGGCAGAACAGGGCCAGGCTGACAGCAAGGCTTTGTTGGGGGGGTGCCGGGAACCACCCACCAGTGGGCACAGTGGTGGTCAAGAGCAAGGGGCTGCACAGCGGGGACCTGGCCCTCCCCCACTGCTCTGAGCCAGTATCCTTCAGTATCATACTGATGCTGGCTGTACCAGCTGGGAACAGGTTAACATATCTGGACATTTCTGCCTTACTTAATGTATTCTGGTTTTGTGCTACTGCGTATTTTTATCTAAGAGGCCACATTCCTGCCCTGGACACTCGGGTCTGCGAGCAAGTGCTGGGTGCATCAATAGCAGCTTTCACCTACTGCAGGGTTGTATTTTTTGTGTTGCTTTATCATAATAAGGACCACCTGCTACATATAAACCCAATGAATTAATTCTGCCAACTATAGCTGGCTTTTCTGCCATGGCACCCTCTTTAAACTCTCCTGTCCATGTTGGAAATATTTTAATGGCAGGCTGGGTTTTAGCTGGGCCACCTTACAGCTGTTACTTCCTTCTCAGGGAGGCTGAGCAGAAAGGGCAACATGGGTGTAGCCAGCAGAGCCAGTGAGGCCAGGATTCCTGATCACTCTTCCCACAGGTCACATGCAGCCTTCCTGGGTGGCTGCAAAGCCCACAGGATGTGAAGAGGCTCGGAAACCCTCCTTGCCCTTTGACGCTGCCTAGGGTCCTATGAATGGAAGGAAGATCACAGCCCCTACTTTTCACAACTTTCGACTGTCCAACTTGCTTCCCGAGGGCCCTACAAGCCTGTGGCCTCTGTAGGACCTGGACCTGCCCTGCTGCAGGAGTGACTGTGATGACCCAGCAGCAGCAAAGGGGAGGTGAGGGACTTCCTTTCTGCTGCTGAGATACACGCACCCATCTCCCTCGTCATGCTGGGCAGCGCACCAGCAAATCGGGGAAGCAGTGTGCCAGGCAGCTGCCTGCCCAGCAGGAGCTCATGCTGGAGGCGGCAGGTGCCCTGGTGAGGGCTGAGCACCCCAAGATAGGCTGAAGTCCTAACCTGAAGCACCTCAGAATGTGACCTTGTTTGGAAACATGGTTGTTGCAGATAATTAATCACCATGAGGTCACTGGGGTGGACCCTAACCCAATATGACTGGCATCCTTATAAGGAGGCGGCTACATGAACACAGACATACAGGGAGAAGGCAGCCATGTGAGGGAGTCGGAGATGAGAGTGAGGGATGCATCTACAAGCCAAGGAAACCAAGGATTACCAGAAAACCATCAGATGCCCAGAGAGGCAGGACAGCGTTCTTCCCTAAAGCCTTCCCAGGGAGCACGGCCCTGCTGACACCTCGATTTTAGATTGCCAGCCTCCACAACTGTGAGACAATCAATTTCTGTTTTTTTAAGCTCCCTAGTTTGTGGATCCTTGTTATGGCAGCCACAGGGGACTAATGCACTCCTGGAGCCTGAGAAGGTCTGGAGGGAGCCACCTCAGGGCATATGCTAACCCATGGAGAGGCTACTGAAAGCCAAACATAATGCTTCACTTGGATCCATAGATTTCTATCTTTGCTTAACAAAAAAAGTATGAATAAAATCAGAAATCAAACAAAATGCAATATGATTTCAAAAACAAGCTCTGTTTTTGCTGAAACGCATGGGTTTTTGTGTCTTGGCTCTTCTGCAGTTTGGCCTCTCCCAAGGCAGCCCCGCAACAGATTTGTGCGTCCTTCTACGGGCTGGATGCCATGTCCCCTATGGCATTTCCAGGCACCCAGCAGAGCCCCCAGGACTCGCCCACAGCTGCCACTGGTTGTGAGGCCCCTCCTGCAGTTCCCCTCACCCCAGGGCTTCTCTGCGACAGGGTCTAAGCCTCACCTGTCTTGGAGGTCTTTGGTGCCTCTGTCCCCTCTGCTCCCTGCAGGTCGAGGACCCACGGCTCCTGTCCCTGCTCCAGCCGGGAGATCAGCTCAGGCTTGAAAACCAGGAATCCTGCTGTGTGTGCGGCACAGGAGACAGTGTCAGCATGACAGGGAGCATGTAGCATAAGGCTAAGCTTTCCCCAACTTCCAAATGTAAAAGGGCAGGGAGGCTAGAAGGCACAGGCAGAGCCCCTGTAGGGAGTCAGGGGTTTGAAGGGTGGTGAGAATCTGGGGACACAGCAGCCCTTTCTGTCCACATCTAGCCAGCTCCTGTGGCTGGACGGCAAGGGATAACTGACTCCCACAATCTCCAGATGACCCTGTCACCAAATAGTCTGCAAAGAACAGTTCAACTCCACCCCTGGAACTCAGGGGAGACAGCAGGAGAAGCCCAAGCATGTCGCTCAGTTCAGAGAGCAGAGATGCTCCAACAGGCAGGGGTGGTTACAAACTAAGACAACAAACAACAACGAAAAGACACATCTGAAGCAAATTTTGCATCAGAAAGCTCCAAGGCCCAATCCTCAGCCAGCAGCCTTCCAGCCTCAAGTCCCTGCACAAAGGACGCCTCAGGGCCTGCTTCCCTCTCCGAGGACTGGGTGGCAGAGACCTGTGGGGGCCCGGCACCCTGCCTTCTTTGGGCCATCTGCCCCATACCCTCTTTGTGTAGTCAGTACACAGATGAGCGAGTGATCCACCGGCCAGCCAAGGCCTCTGGTTGGAAGCTTCCCTCAGGCTTCCCCACACTGGAAGGAAAGAGGCAAGCAGAGATTCCAAAGGCCTACAGCCAATAAGCTCAAGCCCCTAGATGCAAGCAGGACTCCACACTCAACAGAAATGCACGTTCTCTCCAATCACACGTGGAACAAAGAAACACCCTCGGGTCAAGCCACAAACTGAGTCACAGACACACCAAAAAACAATACCACAGAACATGCACCCAGCCACATGCAGCTCAGAATGAGATTAACCACAAAATGTTGCTTAGATGCGATTAGCTAATTGGAAACTAAACAATAAATTACTAAGTGGCAAGTGTATTTATTATGAATCAGAATTTATAGGATGCAGCCCAAGCAGTATGTAAAGATAAATTTTTTTTTTTTTTGAGACAGAGTCTTGCTCTGCTGCCCAGGCTGGAGTGCAGTGGAACAATCTCGGCCCACTGCAGCCTCCACCTCCTGGGTTCAAGCAATTCTTCCTGCCTCAGCCTCAAGAGTAGCTGGGACTACAGGTGCAGGCCACCATGCCAGCTAAATTTTTTTGTATTTTAGTAGAAACACGGTTTCACCGTGTTAGCCAGGATGGTCTTGATCTCCTGACCTCATGATCCGCCCACCTTGGCCTCCCAAAGTGCTGGGATTACAGGCGTGAGCCACACCTGGCTGATAAAATGTTATTTATTTATTTATTTAGAGACATGGTCTTGCTCTGTCACTCAGGCTGGAGTGCAGCAGCACCATCATAGTTCACTATAACCTAGACCAATCCACCCGCCTCAGCCTACTGAGAGGTTAGGAGTATAGGTGTGTGACATCACACCCAGCTAATTTTTAAAATTTTCTGTAGAAATGTGGTCTCGCTATGTTGCCCAGCCTGGCCTCCAGCTCCTGGGCTCAAACAATCCTCCTGCCTCAGCCTCCTAAGTAGCTGAGATTACAGGCATATGCCACTATACCCAGAAAAATCATTTACTAGAAATGAGAATTTTAAAACACAAATGAGGTAAATAGTAAGCTTAAGAAATTGAGAATGGCCAGGCACGGTGGTTCATACCTTAATCCCAGCATTTTGGGAGGCTGAGGCGGGTGGATCACCTGAAGGTCAGGAGTTCAAGACCAGCCTGCAACATGGGAAAACCCTGTCTCTAATAAAAATATAAAAAATTAGCTGGGTGTGGTGGCAGGCACCTGTAATCCTAGCTACTTGGGAGGCTGAGGCAGGAGAATCACTCAAACCCGGGACACGAAGGTTGCAGTCAGCCAAGATCGCACCGTTGCACTCCAGTCTGGGAAACAAGAATGAAATTTTGTCGCCAAAAAAAAAAAAAAAAAAGTTGAGAATAAAACAATAAAAATAATTAGCTGGGCATGGTGGCCCAGGCCTATAGTCCCAGCTACTTGGGAAGCTGAGGTGGGTCACTTGAGCCCAGGCAGTTGAGGATGCAGTAAGCCACTACACTCCAGCCTGGACAACAGAGTGAAACCCTGTCTCAAAACATAAAAAAGCAAAACAAACCAAAAAAACACCACACGGCCAGGCGCGGTGGCTCACGCCTATAATCCCAGCACTTTGAGAGGCTGAGGCGGGTGGATCACGAGGTCAAGAGATCGAGACCATCCTGGTCAACATGGTGAAACCCCGTCTCTACTAAAAATACAAAACATTAGCTGGGCATGGTGGCATGTGCCTGTAATCCCAGCTACTCAGGAGGTTGAGGCAGGAGAATTGCCTGAACCCAGGAGGTGGAGGTTGCGGTGAGCCGAGATCACGCCATTGCACTCCAGCCTGGGTAACAACAGTGAAACTCCATCTCAAAAAAAAAAAAAAAAAAAAAAAAAACCACCACACACACACACACACCAAACTCACATAAATAAAAAGGGAGACAATAATAAATCTGGGACAGAATTCAGAGAAATAGAGAACAAAGACATATAAAAACATCCTCCAAGGCCGGGCATGGTGGCTTATGCCTGTAATCCAAGCACTTTGGAGGCCAAGGCAGGCGGATCACCTGAAGTCGGAAGTTCAAGACCAGCCTGACCAACATGGTGAAACCCCATCTTTAAAAATATATATATCCTCCAACCCAACCCCCCCGCCAAAAAAAAAAAGGCTGGCAAAACCAAAAGCCAGTTCTTTTAAAAGATAAATATGACCGTCTCATGACAAAACCAATCAAGGTCAACCTAGTGAGAAGATGCTGCCAAAAAAGAAAGAATAAGAGAATTACAAATGTAACAGATTAAAAACAAAAGGAAAGGCCAGGCAAGGTGGCTCATGCCTGTAATCCCTGCATTTTGGAAGGCTGAGGCGGGAGGATTGCTTGAGACCAGGAGTTTAAGACTAGCCTGGGCAACATAGACCCCAACTCTACAAAGAAAGAAAAAACAGCTGGGCATGGTGGCGCGCACCTATAGTCCCAGCTACTCAGGAAGCTGAGGTGGAAGGATCACTTGAACCCAGGAGTTCAAGGCTGCAGTGAGCTATGATTGCACCACTGCACTCCAGGCTGGGCAACACATTAAGGCCCCAACTCTTAAAAGAAGAAAAGGAAATATAAATGCATAAATGCTAATCTAAGACTTTCCTTCCCCAAAAACCCAAGGCCCCAATGGTTTTACAGATCAGTTCCACCAAGTTCTATTTGTATGCCAAATACCATTTATCAAACATGTCAAAATTAAATAAGGAAAATACACAAAAAAGAAATATATGTGTGTGTGTACGTACATGTCCATATTACTTATGAAAAGAAATATAGGCCGGGCGCGGTGGCTCACGCCTGTAATCCCAGCACTTTGGGAGGCCGAGGCGGGTGGATCACGAGGTCAACAGATCGAGACCATCCTGGTCAACACGGTGAAACCCCGTCTCTACTAAAAATACAAAAAAATTAGCTGGGCATGGTGGCGCATGCCTGTAATCCCAGCTACTCAGGAGGCTGAGGCAGGAGAATTGCCTGAACCCAGGAGGCGGAGGTTGCGGTGAGCCAAGATCGCGTTTCTCACCCCGGGTGGGAAAAAAAAGGAAAACCCCATCAAAAAAAAAAAAAAAAAAAAAAAAAAAAAAAATCCAAAATACAATATTGGCTAGCTGAATCCAAAGGTGTATCAAAATTCATATATAAATATCATGATTTAAGTAAGGGTTATTCCAAAAATACAAGAAAATATAGCAATGTAATTTCCTATGTTAATAAAGAATATAAATCATGGCCGGGTGCGGTGGCTCACACCTGTAATTCCAGCACTTTGGGAGGCCGAGGCAGGTGCATCACGAGGTCAGAGTTCAAGCCCAGCCTGGGCAACATAGTGAAACCCTGTCCCTTAAAAAAAAAAAAAAAAAAAAAAAGAAAGAAAAGAAATCATATAAGTGTCTCAAATGATGCAGAAAAAGAACCTGAAATTCATTATTTATTATTAAAAACAAAGCTCTTGGCCAGGCGTGGTGGCTCACGCCTGTAATCCAGGTGCTTTGGAGGCCAAGGCAGGCGGATCACCTGAGGTCGGGAGTTCAAGATCAGCCTGACCAACATGGTGAAACCCCATCTTTATAAAATTAAAAAATTAAAAACTCTTTAGCCAACTTCTGTGGTTACGTGGATGCGTTCCCTTTAAAATCAGGAACACAACATGACCACAGGATCTTGTTTAACACTGTGCTGCCCACTGAGAAGGTAGATGGGAGGAGTGAGGGCTGGGAGGGAAAATACCAAACTCTCATTTGCAGGAATCCTCCTGCTGGAAAAAAACAGAATCACTGACCAACACTGAATTAGCAAGAGAGTTCCACAAAGTTGACGGATGTAAGATCAACCTCCAGAACCAATAGCATCTTTGTACTACAGCAATACTCAGCTAAAAATACATTCACAAAGCAAAAAATCAAAACTTCTACACTGACTCAAAACAGTTTCAAAGCACTCCCAATAAAAATCTCAGTGGCATTTTTTTTTAGGAACTCACTTACTCTAAAATTTGTATGCAGCCAGGTGTGGTGGCTTACACCTGTAATCCCAGCACTTTGAGAGACTAAGGCAGGTGGATCACCTGAGGTCAGGAGTTTGAGACCAGCCTGGACAACATGCTGAAACCCCATCTCTACTAAAATTACAAAAATTAGCTGGGCGTGGTGGCACATGCCTGTAGTCCCAGCTACTTGGGAGGCTGAGGCAGGAGAATCACTTGAACTCAGGAGGCAGAGGTTGCACTGAGCCGAGATCGCACCACTGCACTCCAGCCTGGGCAACAGAGATTCCATCTCCAAAAAACTAAGAAAAAAAGCTTTGTATGAATGACCCCATTACCCAAGAGTACGTAAGCAAATCTTTAAAAAGAATTAAACGCGGGCCGGGCAGTGGCTCACGCCTGTAATCCCTGCACTTTGGGAGGCCGAGGCGGGTGGATCACGAGGTCAAGAGATAGAGACCATCCTGGTCAACATGGTGAAACCCCGTCTCTACTAAAAATACAAAAAATTAGCTGGGCATGGTGGTGCGTGCCTGTAATCCCAGCTACTCAGGAGGTTGAGGCAGGAGAATTGCCTGAACCCAGGACGCAGAAGTTGCGGTGAGCCGAGATCGCGCCATTGCACTCCAGCCTGGGTAACAAGAGCGAAACTCCGTCTAAAAAAAAAAAAAAAAAAAAACAGAATTAAAGGCAACCAGTTGCGGTGGCTCACATCTGTAATCCCAGCATTTTGGAAGGCTGAGGCAGGCAGATCACCTGAGGTTAGGAGTTCTGAGACTAGCCTGGCCAACATGGTGAAACCTCATCTCTATTAAAAGTACAAAAATTAGCTGGGTGTGGTGGGATGCACCTGTAATCTCAGCTACTCAGGAGGCTGAGGCAGGAGAATCACTTGAACCCAAGAAGCAGAGGTTGCAGTGAGCCGAGATAGCACCATTGCACTCCGGCCTGCGCAACAAGAGCAAAACTCCATCCCCTCCCCAAAAAAAAAGAATTAAAGGTTAATTAATAGATTATGTTGGGGAAAACAGCTATGTTTGGACAAAAATAAAACAGGGAGTTTTACGTAACTCCAATACAAATGTCGAGCTCTGATACAGATGAGAAATATAAACTATAAAATCCACAGAAGAAAATGAAGGCCATCTCAATGACCTTGGAGTAAGTAGAACTATTTGTTTCATCTTTTTGAGATGGAGTCTTGCTCTGTCACCCAGGATGGAGTGCACTAGTGTGATCTTGGCTGAGTACAACCTCTGCCTCCCAGGTTCAAGCAATTCTCCTGCCTCGGTCTCCTAAGTAGCCAAGATTACAGGCGCCCACCACCACACCTGGCTAATTTGTGTATTTTTAGTAGAGACAGGGTTTCACCATGTTGATCAGGCTGGTCTTGAACTCCTGACCTCAAGTGATCTGCTCACCTTAGCCTCCCAAAGTGCTGGGATTACGTGCATGAGCCACTGTGCCCAGCCAAGGAAGAACTTACTTTTTTTTTTTTTTTTGGGAGACGGAGTCTCACTCTGTTGCCCAGGGTGGAGTGCAGTGGCACAATCTCGGTTCATTACAACCACTGTCTCCCAAGTTCAAGAGATTCTCCTGCCTCAGCCTCCCATGTAGCTGGGATTACTGGCACACAATGCCATGCACGGCTAATTTTTTTTTTTGTATTTTAGTAGAGACAGGTTTCACCATGTTGCCAAGGCTGTCTCCAACTCCTGAGCTCAGGCAATCCACCCACGTCGGCCTCCCATAGTGCTGGGATTGTAGTCATAAGCCACTGTGCCCAGCCAGAACTTTTAAGTAAAACTTCAAAGAGACAATCCATAAGGCAAAAACTGATTAATTACATTAAAATCTGACCTAACAAAGTCAACAAACACGAAAGAGGGGAAAACATACTTTTTTTTAGACAAGGTCTTACTCTGTTGCCTAGGCTAGATTGCAGTGGCACAATCATAGCTCACTGCAGCCTTGACCTCTCAGGCTCAGGCAATCCTCCCTCCTCACCCTCCCCAGTAGCTGGGACTCCAGGCATGCACCACCATGTCTGGCTGAAAAAGTGATTTAAAATGCACAAAACTAACCTGGTATTTATCAAATTTGATAAATTCTAACTTAGTCTTTTTATAAAACCCTTTCCCATCTCTTGGACGCATCTAGAAATTCATGTCATGCAGCAAGTGGCAGCTGTGACACACCACCACGGCCTGTGCACACGTGAGCTTGCCCCAGCCGCTCAGTCACTGCTGCAGGTGAGTCACCAGCACATCATACAACACATGCTGAATTCAGCTGCTCCTTACACTGTCTTCAAAAAGTTTACCCTTTGACTTGGCACAAGCAGGACATTATGAATAAACAGAAGCCATGGGGCCAAGTGCAGTGGCTCACACCTGTAATCTCAGCCCTTTGGGAGGCCAAGGCAGGTGGATCCCTGAGGTCAGGAGTTTGAGACCAGCCTGACCAACATGGTGAAACCCTGTCTTTATGAAAAACACAAAAATTGGCTGGGCATGGTGGCAGGTGCCTGTAATCCTAGCTACTCAGGAGGCTGAGGCACAAGAATCACCTGAACCCAGGAGGCGGAGGTTGCAGTGACCCAGTATCACACCATCACACTCCAACCTGGGCGACAGAGTAAGATTCTGTCTCAAAATAAAAAAAGCCATGGAAAAAGAACAGCAGGTGTACCTTTGAGACTGGAGAAGCAAACTGTTGCTGGAAGAATGACTGCAATTCTAGTTACTGGCAAATCAGCAACTGTGTGCCCACAGGGCCTGAGAGGAGGATAGCACAGCAGATGGAGCTGTTTAAAATGGATGGCTGCTATATGCCAGGCAAGAAAGCTCAAGCACCAACCTCACTGGATGAAGAAAACCCCAACAACACTTAATGCTGCAGCACCTCTTGACGGCCAGGCCCACAAGTTGCCATCATGTGGAAAGCATCGACACAGATAACCAAACCAGAGAGTGCGTGACTAAAAGCTGTGAAGAAACATTAGAAGTACCCTCACTCCACGTCTTTTCCTTTCTATTTCAGTGACATCTGGTAAACCAGGTTTAAATGAGTCTAAGAGAACTCTTTAGAAAGCACAAAGTAAAATTAAGTAATAAGAAAAAAAATGCATGTAATCAGTAGCATTCCACCTTTCCTAAAATAATGATGTGTACATAATTACATGTTTTACAACGTAAGGCATCTTAGATAGAATGAAGAAATAACACCTTCAAATCAGTAAGGCACGGCAGACCTAGAATGGGCAAATGCCCTGAGCAGATATTTTACTGAAGAACCTGGCAAGCTAATGAGGGTGTGAAAATATGCTCAAGCTCAGCAGAAATCAGGGAAATGCAAACTCAAACCACAATAGCCTCCCACTGTACACTTATCTGACTGGCAAAACAGAAAGCTGGACTTTGCCAGGCTAGCCAGAACAGAGGGGTGCAGGCCTAGTCCAACACCCCAAGAAGCTCCTGGCCAACCAACTATGCCCCCATCCATTCCATTGCTGATCCCCCAGCCCAGGCACTCTCTTGGGGGTACAAGGCAGCAGAGGGCTTGGTCACAGGCAAGAGACCGAGCAATGCCCAAGTTAAACACACAACCCCCCTTCACCAAGTTGCAATCCAACAACAGTACATACCTTGTGAGAACACAGACACGGACATAAAGTGCACCATGGTGGCTGCCTGTGGCAGTGGTAGAGTTCAGAGAGAACTAATGGCAGGACAGGAGGGCAAGGGGGTGCCCTGACAGCCTCTGTATCGTAGCCCCATGGGCTCCGCTGCCACCTCTTGCTCTGGTTGTACAACCTTTTCCTTGGGTTCCTCTACCCAATAATTTCTCTTTTCTTGTCTAATAAGCTATTTCAAGCTTGGATTCTATTTGTCACAATTTAACATCTTAGGAAAAAAAGAAGCTTTACTAACCCCCAGAATCCCATCCACCCTCTGGGGGGCTGAACCCCATGACATGCGCAAAGCCAGGAACCATCCTGGCACACTCATGAGTCCAAGGCCCCTGTGGAGCCCACAGGGGTCTGAGTGTTTGGTCTCCATATCCTAGCCTCTGATGGAGGCCTGGCTGGGTGGGTGCTGACTGATGACGCAGGGGAGGGGGCCCCGAGGTGCAGCCTCACCTAGTCCAGCCACACTGCTGTGGTTCTCCAGCATCACCTCCCTGTAGAGGGCCCTCTGGCCAGGGTCCAGACACTGCCACTCCTCCCGAGAGAAGTGCACAGCCACATCGCCAAATGTTACCACCTCCTGAAAGGACACACACCAGCACCCCAGGAATCCCTGGGTGCCAGCCCCCTTCTGGCGCTGCCTCATGGCATGTCTCAGGCAGGTGCACCATGGGGTTGGGTGAGATGCTCACCAGGACTCCTTTGGCTCTAATATTCTGGGGAAGGATAATCTGGGGGAGGAGGAAGGAACCCAGTCGTGGTGATCATAAACCCCCCCCCCTTCAAGAGCCTCAATTAGGCCCTGGTTTGAACAGGAGTTTGCTCACTACTTCAGGGATGGGGGCAAGGAGGCATTCCTAAGCCCTAGCAAGGGCCAAGGTAGGGTCTGGGCCTAGGTCAAGTGGACAGAGCAGGAGATGGGGCTTCACAGGACACGCAAGGGGAAGGAGGCAGTCAAGCTTCCTACCATGAGGCTCGGTGGGTGGGCATCCACGTGTTCTGGCCGAGAGACCTGTTGGCAATTATGAAAGGATTAGAGGTCAGAATGCCAGAAGTCCAGCTTCCAGGCTAATCAAGGGGGTTAGTGAAAGAGGCCCACTGAACTCTTGTTCCTCTTTTAGTGTGTGTGTGTGGCATGTGCGAATCACTCCACAAATCTGTAAGGAGTGGACGCCAAGTGCCAGGCACTGAGTAATGGGGATAGTAGTGGACGGGAAGACCCTGCCTTCACAGCACAGTCTGGTGGAGAAAGAGTTAAATAACCACACAAATAAGCACATTACAACCAGGATAGCGCTGAAGTACAGGGAACTATGAAAGTATTTAGACCAGAACAGTGACTTAATCTAATGGGTCACTTCCCCAGGGACCTCAGCCAAGGTAATGGAGATGGGGAGAGCACTCCAGGCAGCAGGAATAGCATGTGAAAGGGCCTGAGGCAAGAAGAAATGGGGTTGGATGAACCAGTGGGTAAATCACTGACAGGAAGGGAAGGCAGTAAGCTACTGGAGGTTGGAGTTGGTAGGAGCAAGAATGACGGACTGTAGGGAAGACAGAAGTGGACATAGAAACCCCTACCATCAAGTACATAAATTCCAGTCTCCAGTTCACCTACCACCAGGATGGAACCAGGCCCAGGGGTGTAATCTGACATAAATCATTTACCTCAATTAAGCCAATGACCCCAGACCCTCTACCTGCCCAGGTACTGCCCCCGGCAGGCCGAAATGGGAAGAGTCTTCGTATGGCAGCATCTAGCCCAGAAAGTGGTTTGTGGGGGGGAAGCGCCGGGTCACCGGCACAGGAAGGCTGACCCAAGCAGCAGTGACCACCGGAGCAGGATCCTCCCAACCCGGCTCCTGACAGTAGGAATGCCCAGAGTAGCAACCAGAATTTAGAGAAGACAAACAGCCCACCCCACCCAAGACACCGTTCTTTTCTGCCACTGTCATTTATTCTAGGCCTCTGGGGACAGTAAGCAAAAAGGGAGGGCCCTGGAAGGAGGTGATTTAGCAGAAGAGGGAGTCAGGGTCCCGGGAGCAGGCCCAGGCCTGCAGAAAATGCTGCAGCTGGAGCTCGCCTTACTCAGACCCCTGACACCGGGCCTGCCACGAGCCGGGCATGCGAGGAACTGCCAGATTCGGCCAAACGAAGCCCACCCTCGCGCCGCAGCGGGAGCGGGCCGCCTATGCTCGACCACCTCCCCCGCCAGGCGCTCGGGGCCCCGCAAAGCCCCCGCGCCTTCCCGACTGAACGCCGGGGGGACGCGGCGACGGCAGCGCCGAAGGCGGGAGAGCGCAGGAAGCTACCAGCGGTCACTGAGACCGAGGACAACCAGAGTCTGCGCCCACCGCGCCGACTCACCCTCCCTGAGGACCACCCGAGGCTCGCAAACGCGCGACGCCGCCGGAAACGGGCCTCCGCCACCCGCGTCCGCCCCGCCCCGCAGACTTCCGGCCGCTCTGGGGCCTCGGCGGCCGGGCCATCTCGGTGATTCTCAGCCCCGCCTCCAGTCAGAGCCGAGGAGGGGCGAGGCTGGGGCCGGAGGGACGTAGCCTGGGCGGGACCAGAAGCCCAGATAGGCGGGGTCGGGCGCTGGGGGCGGAGCTACAGTCGGAGGCGGGGAGGGCCCAGAGCCCGGGATGGGCGGTGCCTGAGCGGGATGGGCGGTGCCTGAGCAGGAGCGGGCGGTGCCCGCACTTGAGACTCTGAGACTCCGGGCTCGCTGGCGTGTTGGGGGCGCGGGGGCGTGGCGAGGCTGACGGAGATCCGGGGGTCGCCCGGCTGGGGTCGCCCGGCTGGGCCCTGCGCACGCGGATCACCAGGTGCCTCGGGCGCTGGTTCCCACCGAGGCTGTCCAGGCGCGGCCTCGTGGAGACGCCGGGCAGGGGTCTTGTCCCCGGCGGGGGCTGGAGCGGGCGCGGGCCCGCAGAGCCTCCTGGACCCGGGGGGAGGGCGCCCCCTCGGAGTTGCCGGAGGCCGGGCCCGGCGTACCCTCGCTCCTCCCTGCCCCGCGCCGCCCTCTGCCTCGCCTCCCTCGGGTTCATTCTGCTCCGGCAGAGCCTGCGCGCTTCCCTTGGCGGCCCCGGCCCCAAAACCTCGGTGTGGACGCTGCCTGCGTCCCGGCTGCCTGGACCTCCCCGCGCGGCTCCCGGCGAAGCCCCGCAGCCGGAGGGTGCCGAGTCCGCCTGGCGCGCCCCTTCCCTCGGGAAGAACGGGGCGGGGGTCCGGGAGGGACATAAGCCGGGCTCTCCCGGCGTGTTGATCCGAACCGGCGCTGGGAAACCTGTGCAAGAAGGAACAATCAGGCAACCCCCCAACCCCCAGGAAGGCCCCGGTGAAAAACAAGCCGGGCTCGCCTCTCCCCTCGCCAATGATCCCAGCACTCCCACCCCAGCCCCTGAGTTCGGATCCCTCAGCCCCACATCCTCTCTGGTCACCTAAGTGGATCCCAGCTGCTCAGGGAGCATGTTGCAAAGGATAGGAAAGGAAAGGGGATCTGCTTCCCCAGCCACCCTTCAGACCCCCAGGGCTGGTAGGGGCGGGCAACCCCGTACCCCAGCCTGGCCTGCTGCAGGTGAGGAGGACACACCAGGATAACGCACAGCAGGACGGGGAGAGAACCTGGCCCAGAGCATCCACCTGGTAGGCACCTCCCTGGTGTCCAGAGTGCAAGTGCCAGAGCTCTGAGGCCCTGATGGCCTGTCTGGGGCGAGGGGGCTGCCTCCATCTACTGCAACCACTGCCTGGCTGAGTCTAGAGCAAGCAGACCCTCCACAGCCAGGCGCACTCAGGCCCTCACATGGTCAGGGTGCTTCTGCTCTGGGCCAGCCTGAATCGTTCATCTGTCTTGAGATTGGGATTCACAGGGTCTTCCAGCTCCCCCGCTTTCTTTCTCTACTAATTAAGAAACACAGAGTCCTTTGACTGCTCTGGGACCTGGCCACTGCGTGTTCCCTGCAGCCTTGAACCCAGTCTGGGGCCGAGCACATTCCCTGATAAAGCTGTTTAGGTTGCTTAAAAACATGATCAACCCTATTGCTAAACACTTAGAAATGTCCCTGTCCTGAGCCCAATCCCTTGAACTCTCATCTAAGCTCCATAGCCAGACTCCCTCACTGCAAATGTACCTGAGTAGAGCAGCCTTTGCCTCACCGTGGATCCCAAGAAAGCTGAAGCTCCGTATGTAAATTTCCAGAAGAAATGCTCTAGACTGATCACACCTGACGTTTAGTGTTTCTTTCTTCGGAATCCCAACCAATTCCATCTCGGAACTGTTTTGAGAAGTCCTTTGAGGCAACTCCCTTGCTGCCATTTTTGGGACAACTCTAGTCTCCTCATATTTGGCCAGATAGAACAATTCCAAGCTGTAAAGGTTTCCAGGAAAAAAAATTCAACCACAAAGCCACTTTCAAGGAGATGCTGCATTTCCAACAGCACTGTCCGAATCCAAGTGGATGGCTCAGAGCAACGGTGCTTCCAAAAGGCTCTGTCTGCAGGTCCCTTGCCATCTGTACACACCCACATCTCAAAGTGGGTTCAAATATGACTTGGATTTGTTTTAATCAGGTGTGGTAAGACATGCAGACATGAAAATGATTGTCAAAACAGAAGACATTATGGTCATGGGGCCCTGGAAATGGGGCAGGGCACACAGGGCCACGTGAGAAGGACCAGGGATGGACAGGAGGCAGAAGGGGGAGAGGGCCAAGTTCAGGCAGAGTCTTTATTTTCTCTGGAAGAAGGCAAGCAGGGTAGGTATGTGGAGTGAGCTCAGAATTGGACTGTTTGAACAATTGTGGCAGGCTCTGGGCTACAGGGCTGGTCCTTTCTTGTCCAGTACCTGGCCCCGGGTAACTCAGGGCAGGGGAGATATTGGCTTAGTGAGTGACACTGTGATAAGGGAGATAGATAATTGTGGACTCTGGATTGGCTGGTTTGTGTCTCAAAGACGCACTAGGGCTGGGCGTGGTGGCTCACGCGTGTAATCCCAGCACTTTGGGAGGCTGAGGCGGGAGGACCACTTGAGGTCAGGAGTTCAAGACCAGCCTGGCCAACATGGTAGAACGTCGTCTCTACTAAAAATACAAAAAAATTAGGCGGGTGTGGTGGTGTACTCATGTAGTCCCAGCTACTTGGGAAGCTGTGATGGGAGAATTCCCTGAACCCAGGAGGCAGAGGCTGCAATGAGCCCAGATTGCACCATTGCACTCCATCCTGGGCGACAGAGTGAGATTCTGTCTCAAAAAAAGAAGAAGAAGTGCACTGGAAGGGGAGTATTTGTTTGCTGTCTCTGGGAATTAGCTAGCCCTGGAGGGAGCATCCTCTCCAGGATCAAGGCCCCAAATGCTTGGGCAACCCTGGAGAGCAGGGATGGAGCCCCGCAAACAAAAGTTTCTTCAATCTATGCACACACTCCCTGGTGCATGGTTTCAAAATGTCTTAGTGAGATCAGGTTTTACTTCACTTACTGCCAGGTCCAAGCCTCTGTGCAGTGGAAAGGACACCTAGGGAGGAACAGTGCCTGATGGGTGAGCTGAGGAGGAAAGGACACTGCCAGGAGGGCACTGGGTTCCTGTGGGAAAGGGTGAGGTAAGCATCAGGTGGAGGGTGCTGTGGGTGTTCCCTGAAGGTGCCCTGGGCCCTCTGGACAGTCCTCACCCATACCACACCCATCAGAGTACAGAGGACATCACTTCTCCCTGTGGTGATCTTCTGTTTAGGACTGCATGATGACAACCACAAACAGAATTTGCTTTTCTCTAGCAGCCAAATCAAGAGAGGCTGGAGGCGTGTGCCACAATTGCGCATCTCCAGGGATGAGATCTTGGCAGCTTCTTCCCACCCTTCAAGTGTCCTGTGGGCAGCCCGCCTGGCTAGCTGGGTGTGAGAGGATCCCCTGGTTCAGGCTCTGCCTGCTGTGCCACCCCAGGCTCACTCCAGGCCTCTGGACAGTATTCCTCAAGCAGGATTCCTAACCCCCCACCTGAGCTGATCTCCCTGGTGGAATGAGGGGAGGTGTCCTGGACCCTCACCCAGCCAGAAATTGGAGAGAATGCTCCCAAGGGACCCCAGCGGAGGCGGGTGGGTGTGAACAGGGTGGCCACAGCCCCGCTGCCATAGGCCAGACCACAACTTGGAGTGGGCCTGGGAGCTCAGAAGGTTGGGAAGACAAAAAACTAGGAGCCAGGAGCCTCCAAGAGCCACAGCACCCACCTCACAGAGGGCTGGGGCCGATAGCCGGCCCCACCTGGGCACCATGCCATACAGAGACCCATGAGTGCCAGAGCAACCATGGGACTGGGGTTTCAGGAACCGCAGTGGTGGCTGCTGGGCACACAAGAAGGAGGGCTGGCACAGAGGTCCTGGAGATGGAGGCTCTGGCTCTGCTGTAGCACAAACTGCCACACCCAGCTAATTTTTGTATTTTTAGTAGAGACAGGTTTTCATCATGTTGGCCAGGCTAGTCTCGAACTCCTGGCCACAAGTGATCCACCCGCCTCCCCCTCCCAAAATGCTGGGATTACAGGCGTGAGACGCCACGCCTGGCCCCTGTTGGCCATTTGTGCATCTTTTATAAAATGTTTATTCAGATCACTTGCCCATTTTAAAGTCAGATTATTACTATTATTACTTTTTTGCTATTGAGTTGTGTGAGTTCCTTATATGTTCCGGTTATTCTTTTTCTCTTTTTTTTTAAGGCAAGCAATTCTCCTGCCTCAGCCTCTCGAGTAGCTGGGACTACAAGCATGCACCACCACGCCCTGCTAATTTTTGTATATTTAGTAGAGACGGGTTTTCACCATGTTGGCCAGGATAGTCTCCATCTCTTGACCTCGTGATCCACCTGCCTTGGACTCCCAAAGTGCTGGGATTACAGCCGTAAGCCACAGTGTCCCCGCCAGGTTTTTAGCTTGATGTAATCCCATTTATCTATTTTAGCTTTTGTTGCCTGTGTTTTTTGTTTGTTTGTTTTTATGAGATGGGGTTTCACCATGTTGGCCAGGCTGGTCTTGAACTCTTGACCTCGTGATCCACCCATCTCGGCCTCTCAAAGTGCTGGGATTACAGGCATTGAGCCACTGCTCCTGGCTGTTGCCTGTGATTTTGAGATCTTACCCAAACAATCTTTACCCAGATTCAATGTCCTGAAGCATTTCCCTAATGTTTTCTTCTAGTCGTTTCATATGTTCATGTCTTACATTTATGTATTTAATCTTTAATCTATTTTGATTTGATTTCTGTATATGGTGAGAGACAGGTTTTTCGTTTTTTTTTTTTTTTTTTTTTTTTTTTTAGATAGAGTCTCACTCTTTCACTTAGGCTGGAGTGAAGTGGCATGATCTCAG